GATGTCCGCACGTGGGAGAAGAAAGTGGATGGTCCAGATGATGGTCCACAAGGTCTGGGTTTGTGAATTAGTTCTGAGAATAATAGAAGGTAGAGCTCACATATAGCTAGCATAATTTATCGGTACAACACGTGCCTTATTTTTTAAATTTATGTATGTGCACCATGTGTGTGCAGTGCCCTTGGAGGTCAGAAGAAGGTGTGGGATCCTCTGGAACTGGAGTTATAGGCAGCAGTGAGCTGGGAACCAGACAGAGTCCTCTGCAAGAACAGCAAGTGCTCTCACCCACGGAGCCATCTCTCTAGCCCCTGCTTTGTCTGCTTTGATGCAGACTCAGAGATTTAGGCTAGCAGGGATCATCTGGTCACTTCTGTTACCAGTCTTCCAAGGAGATGGACGTGACCTGCTGAGAACCAGAGGACCTGTGCCAACAGCTTTTCAACGTACATAAGGCAGATAGATCCAAATCCCCATTTAATAGATGGCAAAAACAAGTCTACAAAAGAGGCAAGTCTGTTTCAGGCCACAGCAGTGTTCACAGTGGGAAGCAGCTTCCGAAGTGCTCAGAACTTTGGTTGTCCCAGCTGGGGAAAACGCTAGGCCTGCAAAGGAACCTCATGCCCATTGGAGTGGCATGAGGAGGGAGGAAAAGCACTTCAGGTTCAAGTTGCTAGTTTTGCAGAGTGTAAAATTACCGCACAAGTCCTAGAGAATAAACAGAGTTAACACCCCATTAAATACAATGGACTTTCGCTGTGCGCGCCAGACGTGCTAGGACTGAAACTAGCTGAGCAGGAGGGAAATGTATCACACCCGCTGCCTTCATGCTTCCAAAGAAGGAAAATCCAGAGCAGGGGAAGAAAGCGCCGGCAGCAGCTCTGCAGGCTCGGGGCTGAGGACCTGGTAATGAAGTCTTTCTGGAAGGTAGGAAGAGCTGTATGCAGTGTGCTATTTTTAAACCTGCTGTAGTGGCAGTTGTATTCCTGCCCTGGCACTTTCTCTTGCAGAGGAGGGGCTCGGGGACCGCAGCCAGGAATTTAGATGCTATTTATTGTATTTCCTTTTATCAGTCAAATGATTTTCTTATTTCCCACGTAGATAAAGATCTCCCGCTCACAGCTTCGGCTTGTTGACCTTGTCAGGACTGCTGTGCTGTCTGGAAATTGGTCCCAGAGAGAGAAAAGGGCATTGTTGTTAGGGGCTGCTTGGTGGATTGGGTTTTCGGTTCTGCCAGCAGAGAGGAGCTCAGTTTGCCAAATATAAATAAATAAAAACCTTCCCCTCAAAACAGAAACGGATTGTCTTATGCCTTCCTTTTTCTCGTGCAAAACTGAAAGATTGTCCAATAAGTTTGCTTGAGTAGCCTTCTGCACCTGGCTTTTCAGGAGCACACACACACACACACACACACACACACAGACACACACACACACACACCACTCTCACCACATACTCACACCTCTCTCCCTCCCCTTTTTCTCTCCTCCATCCCCCACTCTTTTTCCCTCTTTTCTCCCCCTTCCTCTTCCTTCTCTCCCTTCCTTCCCCCTCTCTATCGCTCTCTTTTCCTCCCTCCCCTTCCACTTTCTACCCCTCTCTCTTGCTCTCCCTTCCCTCCCCCCTCTTCCTTTTTACCCCCCACTCCGTGACACACAGGGAATCTAGAGTCTCCTTGGCAGGAAACAGGGCAGAGGGGCGGGGCCCTCTCTGTCTGGCTTGCCAGCTCCAGGCGGTAGAGATGCCAGTACGCCTGAGCTGAGCCATGGCAGCTTCCACTCTGCTGGAAGCCTCAGAGCTAGCCAGGCCTCTGCCAGCATCTTCTAGGGGCACAGTGAAGCCGCAGGGCTGCCTCTCCACCCTATTGTCTCGCCTGGCTGGGGGCTGCTGGCCAGATTTGCAGGCAGAAGTCAGCGCCACTGCCTCTCACCTCGGAACTAGCTCAGCAGATGCTGCGGAAGGCTGGAGTTTTATTGCAAATCCTCATTTTTGGCTGGCTCACAGCTACAGAACATCAAAAGAACCAGCTAGTCTGAGGGCAGCCAGCGCCTTGCAGGCTCGCAGTGGGAAGAGTAAGGAGGTGCAGGCCTCCTCACGCTAGGGTGAGCCGAGGTTTTTACGAAGGCCAGCTTTCCAGACCCCACGGGTCCTTTTCCTCCACCGCGGTGCTTCCTGGTTGGGACAGCAGAGGGCGCTCCCTCCTCTGACAGCACCGCAACCCGGCCCGCCTTCCCACACATCTGGAAATGGGCTCTACCACTCTTACGAAATACCAAAGGGCCAGGGATCTGTCTGTGTGAGATGTGCTGGCACCCGAGTGCGCACGCATACACATCACTAATTCCACTTTCTCATGAGTTAGATTTCCCGTGAAGAGCTCTTGTGGAATGTGGGGAATTTGCCTCGCCAAGGCGGCCAGCACATCCTATTCTTGGGCTTGTCTGGCCCCGGTTGCAATGCTTGGACGGATCTCCTCTGGTCTGAAGCCTTTGCCCTCCCCTCCCACGTGCAATGGGGAAGAAAAACAGGAGGAGACCTCCCAGATCTTTTCCTCAAGGAAAGAGAGTTTAAAAAGTTCAGCGCTGACCTTATAGGCCTTCCTGATGTGGAAGTCCAAGACAACATCTTTCTAATTACAAGAGATTAGGCACGCCAAAGTGACAAGCCAAGGATGGAGGAGTGCGAGGCTGAAGCCAGCCAAAAGCCCTAGTTGCTATTCTGAGACTGCACCCCAGACCTCTGAAAGCTGCATGCATTTAAATGTCCACATTTTCTGCAGAAGCCAGGAATCTCAACTTCTCTTGGCCAAACAACACATCCGTCTAATATGGTGTGGGAGAAATATGTTACATTCTTTATGAACAGAACGTTAACATCACCCAGAATCAATATTTATATCCAAGAACACAACGAACTGGCTTGTTTTGTACTGCATGAGTTTAAGATAGGGACATCGTGAAAGAGTGGGGAAGGCAGACAAGCTGAGGTTCAGGCATCCCAAAAGGGTCCCCACCCCCACCCCCCAGTCCTCCTGCCTCTTGGGATTGAAAGAAGAAAGTAGAACAGCAAGCAAGGCAGGAACCAATGCTGAGGCCCAGGATGTGAGGCAGCATCCTGTAGGCAGACAGCATCCTCCTGTCAAGTGAGGAGAGGAGGGCCAGGGCCAGGGCCAGGGCTGTATCCGGCCTTTCTTGCTGAACTCAGACTAGGTGCTGACACAGAGCAGGACATCTGGAGGAAAGTGATGCTGCTCCCACAGAGCTGCTGTTTGTGGACCAGGCAGTTACTTTAAGGTGAGGCAGGGCCTGGGAGAGAGACCTAGCCTTCCTACAGCCATCAATGTCTTTGTTTGCTCCTTCACATTGATTTTTTTTTTTTTTTTTTAACTTTTCTTCCTCTGGAGACAGCTTGGAGCCCGGAGTCAGCTACTTGTTCCCTGCATGTAAAATCTTTACCTAATTAAAACAAAAACAAAGGCCTTTCCCGGAAGATTTTGTGTTTCCCGGCAACATAGATTCTCAAAATGGGAGCTTCCTCTCCATCCTCAAGGCGAGGACTCAACGGGGCCTCCTTTTGCAGAGCAAGCTGGTCCTCCTGGTTTTCAGATGAGGCACTGGCTGCGAGCCCTTGCAGCAACAGCACTTGTCTCTCGTTAAATACCTGGAGCTCATTACCTCATTTCCTGCAGCAGTCTTCAGGGCCTTAATGGGCATGGTCAGCAGGAGGGGTCCTTTGGTTTAGAGGGAAGATTAAGGCCTGATTAACCTTGGCCTCATTTGCTGTGGGTCAAGTCCTCAGACAGAGAAACCCCTCTTGGCAGAACCACAACGTACATACATACATACATACATATTGTAGTCTCTAGCCTTTCCTGTGTGTTGTTAGTGCTTAGTTGTTACAGTGTGCTTGGTCTGTCCTGTTATTTTCACCCAGTTCTTTTCTGTTTTGAGACAAGGTCTTACTCTGTGGTCCTGGCTGGCCTGGAACTCACTGTGGATGCCAGACTGGTTTTGAACTCAGAGATCAGCCTGCTTCTGCCTTTAAGTGTTGGGATTAAAAGCTTTTGCCATCATGCCCAGCTTTTCATCCAGGTCTGGCAGATGACCAGTAAATATCCCAATCATATTTGCTTTGAAATCAGTTAAGATAAACAGATGCTGCCATGCCAGAAAGAACGTTTAGCATGTCCTTCCCAGATGCACGCTTCCCTTGCTCAATCTCTTGCAGGAAACCTATGCAAGCACATGCTGTAACCACTGCAGTGATGCCAGCCGATTTAAGCCAGTAGAAAAGCTGCTTCTCTCCCTGCTCTTCTGGTGTCGAAGAAAGGGGAAAATAGTGAAGGTGGGCAGTAAGGCAAAGGATAGAACATGAAATCCTTACCCAGGGGTGGTAGATGTTGGCAGATGACTTTGCCTAAGCTTCTTCTAAGTCAACCCATGCCATCCCATGTCCAAACTTACCTCTCCAGCACTAGCCCATTCATAGAGTTGCTTCCCAAACACTCACGCCTGTATCTCCAGCTGGCATGCCACAAAGACCCCTCACTTCGGGCCACTTTCCGTCTGTGCCAGCCTGCCTTTCTCTAAGCTCTCCAGCTCCATAAGTGGACCCTGCTCATCAAAGCGTCTTTTTCCATCCCTCCCACCTCTAACCCATGCTCCACTTCATTTTTTTCTTTACCTCTATCTGGGATTACAGGCGTTCTCCTCCACTATGCCCATCTTAGTTATGTTATTTAGGACTTTGTTAGGAAGCACAAACACGCCTGTGTAACACATTTTTAATATTTTTAAAGCTATATTTTAATATAGTAGATTTCTTAAGGTGTTTTGAGACAGGGTCTTGCTCTGTAGCCCTGGCAGACCAGGAACTCACTCACTTTGTAGACCGACTGGCCTCAAACTCAGAGAGATCCTCCTGCCTCTGCCTCTTGAGTGCTGGGATTAAAGGAGTGCACCATGCCTGGCTTTTTTTTTTTTTTTTTTTAATGTAGTTGAAAACACGCTCTTGGAAGAGCTGTTCACAGCCCCCACTGGATTGCCACAGGGAGTCATGACAAAAGAAAACAATGGCTGGGAACTTGTGAGCTAGTTCATTAGCTTCTCATGCTGCTGCTTTGCAAAAACAGCTGTGACTGTTTTTTCCTCTGCCTCAGATTACAAGTGAAGACCCTTAGCGCGGCATCTGAAGCTCATTATAGCCTACTTCCCCGATCTTTCACTGTCTGCAGTACCCGGGAAGTACTCGGGGGCCCTGAACATCGCTAAACAAGAGCTCACCACAGAGCTACCTGGCTCTTTCTAGTTTCTTCAAAAACAACAGCAACAAAACTATCTTGCTGTAGTGCCCCACTTAAATATGTCATACTGGCAAAGCCCTCTTGTAGACCTCCCTGGAGCAGCACCATTGAATCCTTTATTTGTATTTTCCAGAACACTCGGTTCACAGCCGTTTGATCATTTCTTGGACCCCATTGTAGTCAGCTTTTGTATCTTTTTTCTTAATTCTTGTTGTATTATGCACTAGCTCCCAGAGAAGAGGGACTTCCTCAGCTTTTCATCTGAAACACACAGAAACATTTGAATGGAATGAACGACTACATCTAAAACATTATATTCCCAAGCGGTGAGTAAAATCCAGTGACCATATTAGTCTGCCTTAAAAAAAACCCAAACAAACCGAGAACTTCTTTTCATAAATAGGCTTTTTAAAACATCCTCCAGCCTGGAGATAAATGGGTTCTCATCTCACATTCCGCTGCACAGGCCCAGCTGACGTGAGGGGCCAAGTCATCGCAGCAGCCCGTGTCTTCTCATGTTACCCTTCTTTGAATGATGCCCAGTATATTTCTGGCCAGTCTCCCCAGCACACACTTCCTCTTGCTTCCCAGCCTTCTCGAGCCATCAGCTTATGGTATGATTTTTATATCCTACACCACTCAGCAGCTTTTGGCCAATCTTAAACAAAGGCAGATGTGAGGTTTTATATTTTCTTTTCCTAAGGAGCTTGAGGAATTAAAAAGGAGGCCATTCCTTAATTTCATAGCTGAGTGAGCAGCTCGAGTGAGCCTACGTGCGTGTGCGCACTGAGTACGGGAGGAATGCTGGCCAACAGTGACCTGAAGTTAGCAGCTCAGGGAAACCACAGGCTTTTAAGAGCTGAAAGGAATTTTTTTTTTTAAAACTGATATCAGAGAGATTTAAGCCAGCTGCCCAGGGATAATCTCAAATTTAGCTAGCCTAAAATGAATTTTTGTTTTGTTTTGAAAAGTGTCTCACTCTATAACTTACCAGGCTGACCTCAAACTCTTTCTAGCCAAGGATGACCTTGAACTTTGGTCCTTTGGCTTCCACTTCCAGAGTGCTGGGATTACAACTATGCACTAAAGCAGCCAGTTTATGTGGTGCTGGGATGGAGCTCAGAACTTCATGCATTAGGCGAGTACTCAGCCAACTGAGCTACACCCCCAGCCTCAAAACAGAATTCTTCATCTTTCCTTCACATTTTATCTCCAAGTCTGCCCCATCTCAGGTAATAGCACTCTGTCCTTGGCCTAATTGCTAAAGCCCAAAAGCTAGAAATTAGTGTGTGTATGCATGTGTGCATATACGTATGTGTGTGTGTGTGTATATATATATACACACACACA